CAGTATGTGGCAAGGCCTTTAGAAGGTCCTCAGAAGTCTTATACCATATATGTAGAGAATGTGGGAAAACCTTCAGTGTAGCATCATACATAAATTATCGTCAGAGAGTTTACACTGGAGAGAAGCCTTATAAATGTAGAGTATGTGTCAAATCTGTTGGTTGGTCTTCAGACTTTACTGCACAGTGGAGAGATCATACTGGAGAGAAGCCTGTAAAATGTAAAAAGTATGACAAAGCTTTTATTTACTGTTTCTGCCATACTAGACAGCATAGATTTCATAGTTGAGAGAAGTCTTAGAGATGTGCAGCGTTTCATGAGTCCTTGACCAGCAGTGAGAACTTACTGAACATCACAGAATTCTGCCTGGCAACAAGCCTTATGAATGTGAAATATGTAGTAAAGTCTTTAACACATTGTTTGCGGGTAGTTTTTATCGCGCACTAACAGGTGGCACGGGCCATTTTTGCAGTTGAATAGATTGATTACCGTTATACCTGGAAGTACATACATAATTCACCATTGTATGTGTTAGAGACCCAAATTTTGTCGTTTCCCGCGTACAATGTGTTAACAGCCATTCATGTATTACTGTACTGAAGAGAAATCTTTCAAATGTAGAACATGTGCAAGATCCTGTACCTGTAGCTCAAAATTTACTGGATATCAGAGACTTTTATAGTGCAGCAAATTCTTACACTGTAGAAAATTTGAGAAAGCACTGGCTGGCTTGCCTCAGTGGTTTAGCTTGGATGTATGAACCAGGAGGCCAGGGTGCCATTCCTGGTCAGGGCACAGGCCCCGGATGGGGACTCAATTCCAGGTATGGCTCCTGCAGGATCCAGCTGATTAGTGATACCCTCTCATCATTGATGTTTCTATAGCCCCCTCTCTTTTCCTCTCTGTGTTATAACAATGCCATCTAAACCTCTTCCTCCTCCACATCAGCCCTTCAGGCCCCTATAGCTTCTGTTCAGTAGTTTGGAATTTTATTAATGCTATAACTGACATCAGAATTTGGCAAATATATTGCTTTATATTCATGAAGTAGGAAGCCCACCAATTTTTATGCTGGATTCTAAAGTTTTGAATGTTATTAATTTTTGGAATATAATAAATTGGCTTCTGTGTACTTTATAAAAAAATAAATATAAATAAAAAGGTCAGGGAGGCTGTTTTAGAATAAAAGAGACTAAAGAGCTTTAACAATCAAATGTAATGTATGGACTGTAATTATATTTTAGTCCAAAAGAAAAAAATCTTTACAAATTATATTGAGGACAAAAGATAAAATTTGAATTTGAACTGGGTATTGTGATATTAGGGAATTAATGCTAATTTTCCTAAGAGTGATAATACTTTTGTGGTTATGCAAGCATGTCTTAGGAGGTACATGCTCAAGTTTTCAGAGGTTAAGTGTAAGCATATGATGTCTGCAACTAATTTTCAAGTTATTAAAAAACAATTAAATATATTTAACAATGTTAACATTTTAAAATGTTAACTGTTGAAACTCAGTGGTGACTGTGTGGGTATTAAGTTAAAAAAGGAGAGAAGGGGGCTATTTAACCTACTGTTCCAAATACTCAACTATAAAACTATTTTTTCTTTTATAATGTATTAATATGGAAGCCTCTGCTCCTTCACAAAGTATTCTGTAGGACACATTGGTCTAGGGTAGGCTCTTAGTACATTTAAGAAATATAGAATAATAAAGATTCCAGTGAAGAAGGAAATCTTAAAAAAATTCAAAATACACTTAAAAATCTCCATCCAGCTAGCTGAGGAAATGTTTACTGTATCATTTGCAAGGAAGCCTCTCTAAGGAGTTTCAAGCTTAACAGTGGCGTGACTTCACTGGCTAGATAAATGAAGGTTGCAGGTTGCAAACTGGCTCTTGAATGTCCAGTATCCAAATCTTTTCTCTTAGAGTAACCTCATGGATGATGGCATAGGCTAAATTTTCAATCACCTGTATCCTTTGGTCCTTACTTGGAACACTTTAAGAAAGAGAGAAAAATAAAAATGTATAGGCATTTGACACTTCCCATTAGGGATGAAGTTATAAGGACACCTAATAGTTTCCTGTGGCGGTAAATTTGATGTGCTAATTTGGGCTACCCGATGCCCAGGTATTTGATTAAATGTTATTCCTGGGTGTGCCTGGAGGGTGTTGATGGGAGAGATTTGTATTTGAACAGAGACTGAGTAAATCAGATTGCCCTCCCCAGTTTGAGAGACTGAATAAAAGCAAAGGTGGAGGGAGAGGTACTCTCTTACTGACTACTGAACTGGGCAGAGGACCTGAACAGACACTTCTCCCAAGACATACAAATGGCCAACAGATATACGAAAAGATGCTCAGCTTCACTAGCTTATTAGGGAAATGCAAATCAAAACTACAAGATATGATCTCACACCTGTTAGAATGGCTATTTCTCAACAAGCCAAGAATAACAAGTGCAGAGGTTGTGAAGAAAAAGGAACCCTATTCATTGCTGATATGAATGTAAACTGGTACAGCCACCATGGAAACCAATATGGAGTTTCAAGCCTAACGAATATTTCTTTTTGTAAATCTGTCCACATGCCGAACTCATATGATGAATTATTCAATAAATATGTGTTGAATGCCTACTCTGTGTTGTAAGAGTTTGGAATATACAGGGTGGGGCAAAAGTAGGTTTATAGTTGTGAGTGTGAAACAAGTGTCTTGTATTATTATTTATTAATCGTATTTTCCGTAGAAACAACTGTAAACCTACTTTTGCCCTCCCCTGTATCAGTGAAACAAAGACCTGAGAGAGCATTGACTCTGCAAGTGAATTTTACCAATCTTTGCCCCCTTCTGCATCTTAGTTTTGCATTTGTGCATGTACAGGAAACACTATAATGGAAAGCTTTCAGATTCTCAGCTGAAGGACACTGGCAAACAAGTGGATATATTGCTCATAAACGCTGTGGAACCAAGGACAGTTAACGAGGAGGGTACCAATGAAATCTCCTTGACCTTGTTCTCAGCAATCCACACCAATAGACACTGCTTTCATTTTTAAAAAAGGAGTTTTACATGTACATGCAGCATTCTGAGGCTACAGCTTCCTTCCTAGCTGCAAATCTTGAGGCTCCCCAACCTGGGACAGTGAGCCCCGCCCCGCCCCACCACTTGGTACTTCTTTTCTCCACCTTAGAGGCTGGTCTGAGCTCAGGGATAAATGCCTTCTGAAACGGCATTTTTGAAAGGGACTAAGGGAAGCTTTTATGTCTCCCTCCGACAAGTCCAGCTTCTAATGAAGTGGAAGTTAGGTTGTAAATAAAGACCCACACTGATTTTCTTCTGAGAAAACACACCACCCCTCCCCACCTCACCAAAACAAAAACAGCACTAATTGTGTTGTTATTTTAGGAATACTCCGTGGCTGTGAAGTAACAGCACAATTACATTTCTCACGGGACCACTGGTACAATTTCCGGGCTCCTGGGGAGAGCAACGTGGGGATTTTCCTCCTGGAAAGAAAGGCAAATTGGTCCCCAAGGTATACTTGATAGAAACACAACTCAAAATAAGTAAAAACATGATAACCCAGCAAATAAAAGCTTGGCAGTTCAGCTAAAACAGACGATGTTATCCAGAAACCTGTGGGAGCATAAAAGAGAAAAATTTCCCAAAGGCTTGCTCCCTCGTTTCCAAGTGGGAAAATGTGAACAGGAACGGAAAGGAACCGGAAGATCAAAGTGATGAACAGCTAATGTAAACATTACAAAAAATGTATCAGGAGAATGGAGAAAGTGGACAGCTTCGGTGTCCCTCTCTCGGAGACCCTCCGGTCCGCTGTGATCAGAGGCGGTGCTGCGGGGACAGCTGGCCCGTCTCTGGTCACGGACCCCCTAGAACGCGCTTTCGCAGGAGCAGGGCAGCGGCCAGGGGGGTGGCGGCGGGGGGCGCAAGCAGCCCTTCTCCAGCTGCTCCCGCCGAGCGTGGTGATAATGGGGATGGGGCCAGCGGTGGCGGTGGAGCGCCTGGTGGCCTTGGGGCCCCTCGTCGTCCTCCGAGACTCCCCCCCGCACGCAGCAGTCCGCGCCCAGGCGCTTCCGCAGCCGCCGCCCGAGCTGGCAGTCTCCCGCCTGGAAGAAGAGGTAGACGAAGGGATTGAGGGCGCTGTTCGCCACCCCGACGAGGCGCAGGACCACCGCCAAGTCCTCAGCATCCCACTCTCCCACCGGTCCCGACGACCACGCAGCTGCCAGCCGAGCAGCAAAGTAGGGCAGTTCGCAGCCCACGAACAGCAGCGCCAGAACCAGGCTCATCTTCAAGCTCTGCACTTTGGCGCGCGGTAGCGC